TGCAAGCTGGATTTAGAAAGGGAATGGGGTGTACGGATCAAGTCATTTCCATGCGCATGATTGCGGAATTTTTTTTTTGCCAAAAACCAGAAAGTTTTTTGTGCGTTCATGGACTTGGAAAAGGCTTATGATAGAGTGGACAGGAACGTGTTATGGCAAACACTGACCTCATTTGGGTTGGCGCTGGTCTGGTACAGGCATTAAAGTCTCTTTATAGGGACTCTAGCGCTTGTGTCAGGATCAACGGGGCCTACTCGGACTGGTTTGGCATTCAAAAAGGTGTCAGACAGGGCTGTGTAGCTTCTCCATGGCTGTTTAACCTATTTATGGACAGTTTTTGCAAACTTTGAAAGTTTAAGAATGTGGGTTGAGAATGGGTGAGTTAACCATCAAATGCCTTTTGTATGCCGATGATCAAGTCATATTTGCATCGTCGGCGGCCGAGTTGCAAATGATGGTTAATTTAATGAACTGGTCATTAAAAGAAAGGGGTATGAAAGTGAACGCAAGTAAGACGAAAGTGATGGTTTTTGAAAGAGAAGAAAGTAAAACGTTATGTGAAATAAGAATAGAAGGGGAGTTGATTGAGCAAGTGGATGAGTTTGTGTATTTTGGATGTTTATTTAGCAAGGATGGTAGATATGATAAGGATATAGAGCGACAAGTGAACGCAGGAAATAGAGTTAATGGGGCTCTACACACTATTATGAAGAGTCAAAATGTGTCAAAGAAGGCACGTATGGCAATTCATAATGCTGTGTTAGTCCCTACTTTATTGTATGGTAGTGAAAGTTGGGTATGGCAGAAGAAGCATGAGAGTAGAATAAAGGCTGTAGAAATGCGGTCATTACGGAGTATGGTAGGGCTGAATCTGAATGACAGGGTGAGAAATAGTGTAATAATAGAAAAGTGTGGTTTGCAAGATGACGTTGTGACTAGGATTAAAAAAGGAATGCTTCGGTGGTTTGGTCACGTAGAAAGAATGAACGAGGAAAGAGTGACAAAGCAAATTTATGTTTCAAAAGTAAACGGCAAAGTCGGGAAGGGACGTCCTAGACGAAGATTTATCGACGAAATTGGCGATACATTGAACACGGGCCAGATTAGGAGTACCCTTAACCGACGAGCGTGTATGCGTAAATATATGGATGTAAAGGAGGCGAGAGAGGTGTGTCAGGATCGCGCCAAATGGAAGTCCGTAGTCTCTGCCTACCCCTCTGGGTGACAGGCGTGAGTGTTTGTATTGTATTGTATTGTAAATAAGGCTACTACTTTCATTTTAAATTATCCTAAATTGAATGTGATTTATGGGCAACAACGATTTTGCCTACCGATCGACCCTTACGAATGTGTGCCTGCAGTAAATTAAGTTAAAATAATGCATTACCACGCATATTGAATTTAAAATATAAAAAGGACTGAATGTTTGAGATTAATTAATTTTAATTAATTTTACTTTATCATTTGCCTATGTCATTTATTCTGAACCTTCTCTGCAAATTTGGTTGGTTATTGCATAATAACCCTGTATACTCTGTATACCTAAACCTAAAAACTATAAACAAAAGAACATTTAGGGAACTGTTTCTTGGCGCGTCCCCGTATAGTCAATCGACTACAGAGGCCCAGAAATCGGGAGCGAGGAACGTCTCTTTGTATTTTGCAAGAAACTGGAGCGTGTAGAATTTACGTATTTAACTCCAGACGCTGCAAATGTACACAGATTGGAGCCTCAACGTGGCACTGGCTTCGTTTTCCCACGAAGTGTGGGACATCTTCTCCCTACGTACTTTGATTATAAAGCTGACAGTTACCATTACCGTTACAGCTTACTGAAATCTACTGCTGAACATAGGCCTCCCCCATAGATTGCCTTATAGGGGTATATTTGCCATAGTGGCCACGCTTGGCAACCGCAGTTTTATTTTATTTTTAGTTGTTATTAGGAAGACGCTGCGGCCCATCTCCTGATTTACACCTGGGGTAGTGGGTATTTTAAAGCTGACTGTTATCAACAACTAAGTTATTGATCTACTTTGTACACATCCAAAGTATCATGTAAAGATATGTTACCTACTATGAGGATCGGCAGCCGGACTAAAAACAAAATTATTTTTGAAATGTAAGCGATACAACAAATCTATAACTAAGGGCCTCGCGAGTTGCTTTGAACTTTTCAAAAACACTTTGATACTTCCGTCCTGGTTTATTTTTGAGAACATTATTTATGAAAGAATGATACAAATTTATTAATTAAAACCGGACTACTCTGTAGACCAGGTCAAGGTGACACGTTTGAAGTTCTATAATTTAAAATGGCTCAAAAATATTTTTTTTGCATAAATACGAATAATTTTACAATAAAACCTATAAATATATAGTGCAAAAATAAAATTCAAAACACACGTTAAATATTCATATCTTAATCATAATCTTACTATAAAATAGACCAATATTTTACATAAAAATTAAATAATTATAAAATATTAAGGAAGATGACGTGTGGAAACAACTCTAACACTGTACTTGAAAGTCCCCTGGCCGCTCATTTATTATTAACACTCATATATTACAAAAAAAAAAGATTATACGTGATAGAGCCATGCTACAATAGCTTGGCTTGAGCGGGGGAGCACCATATTATGATGGTAAGCAGTTGCTGAGGCCCATAGACATACATCTATCTTTGATTAAGAATCAAAATGCAGATGCGTTGACAACCCTGAGGATTAAGATGGAATGCCTCGCTTCGAGTAAAAGGGGTCACCGGTTCTCTACACTCACCACACGCAACAGAGAAACTACTATTTACGCGGTATTCTGTGAGAGCGTAATCCTCCCCCGCTAAGGCACTTTACATTGTTTTGATTTTATTATAAGTTGTAAATGAAACTTTATGGTAAATGAAACTAATTTTTACGGATTTTATCGCGTTTAATTTAACTTTTTAATTCCCCACGTTTCGGGTGCTTCACAACACCCATGGTCACGGGACTGAGGTGTTTAACGTCACGATGTCATAGTTAGCCCGGCTGCCTTCAGTTTTTGAATATTAATTTTTAGTCCGATCTATGCAGAATGAGCTTACAGTGTCTTAAAGTCTTGCAAAGGTATGCTTGGGTTTGGATTTAATTTTATTAATTATAGGATCCCAATCAGATGGCAACAGCCATCCATATACTCTATTGAAATTAGGATGTTTTTTAATTTCAATAGCCTCGCGAATTATCCTTGGTAGGAATCGGTCGGAATCGAAATCGGAATTTGTGGTCTATCAAATCTAATGTAATGGCGGGGACGATCTTGAACATGTTCATACACTGCAGACTTCCTGGAACGTCGAAACATTAAGTCAGCTATATGTTCTTTCACGCGGGTTTTTATAGATTAATTTTCTAACGTGGTAGAGCCGTGCTGCAGCTAAATTAGTAGTACAGTTGTAGCACGAATGGGTCGGCTCGACCGGGGAAGGACCACGCTCTCATAGAATACCAGCGTAAAACAGCAGTCTAACACTGCTGTGTTTCGTATGGTGAGTGTAGAGAACCGGAGATCCTTTTTACTGGAAAAGAGGCATTCTATCTTACTCCTCACGGGTGACAACGCATCTACATTTTTATTCGCAATCGAGGATAGCTGTAGATGTCTATGGGCCACAGCAACCACTTACTATCAGGTGGACTGTGTGCTCGTTTGTTACCCTATCCTATAAAAAAAAGATTCTTTGTTTGTCCTATATAAGAGAGACCACATTTATAATCCAGCTTGTACATTCCTGCATCTTATAGAGGTATATGACACTTGACGGATGGTAAAAATTGACTATTCTTCTTCGGCGGCTTAAAGTATGTTTTAATGGAAGCTCGCTTTAAGATGTAGCCAACCTTGTTTGTGACTCCTCTGACATAGGGTAGTACATCAGGCACACGCTCGACTGTGGCCGGCTTCACTCGGTCACTGTGACGTAGGCGCGGGACCCGAAGCTTGTTGTCTTGCAATACTTGCTCGACGTGCTGAAACTCGGCTGCCAGATATTTTCTGTCACAGATCCTTCGTAAAAATTAGTTTTATTTAATGGGTAGTCGTCGCATAAATATAAGAAATCATTAATTATCATGGTATTTAAAAAGTTAACAAGATCCCCAGGATTTCTTGTCGGTTCTTCTGAATGTTTTTGTTTTTGCGTACTGATGTAAATTTTGACGTTCATAAAAGATTGAAACAGGCCCAAATTTAATAAAAAAATTGATTTTAACTTTGTCATTGACGCTGGAAAAATTACAAAACATGAAGACCCGAAAACCGACAATTGGTTACGAATAAATGATTCTTAAATATCTCTATGCCGATATGGGATTCGAAGCCGGGACCTGCGACATAATACCAAACCATGATTTAATTTTTTCCATTGTCGTTTCCAAAACATCTAAATTTTATTTGAAATAATATACAAACGGTTAATCCAAGAGAAGCAACAGTTGCAGAGCGAGAAACGACAATACAACTTACGATGTAAAAATATGCCTATTTCGAACTCAAAGAAGAGGTTCGTCCTCTAATAGACGTCATAAAATGAATAAAATTATTGGTAATGCAATGTTGTCTTTCGACCAGTCAGACAAGCTGGTTGAACAGTTATTTAAGTCAATTAAGACTACATTACATATTCATCCTCGGTGATGAGATCTATAGCAGTATATAAGAGAAAAGATTCGCTTCGCACTTCGTACTAACTCATCGCTCCTGAAGCAGTCAACAACTACCAAAATGAAATTCTTCGTAAGTTGTTGATTTATTTTATTCAGTTAAATTAAAGCTAACTGATTCTTCAGTATTTTTAAATAATTGCCCTTGTTTCGTTCTCAGGCTTGCATCTTTGCTGTTATTGCCATACTGGGCGTAGCCTCGGCTGGTTACATTCGCTCTGGCTGGTCCGTGCCGTACGCGTATTCCTCGCCCGTGGTCTACTCAAGTCCAGTGGTCTACTCGCCATACTACAGTGGTTACAGTGGTCTCGGCGGCTACGGTGGCTGGTCCTCTGGCTGGAGGAGTGGATGGTGGTAGGCTATACGTGAGGATGCCAACAATTTGAGTGTAAATTTTGCAATTAAAAACAGTGATAAAACATCTTGGTAAATTGCCTTGTAATCAACTACTCACTTCAACAGCGTTGCGTTCCGTCTACATTAGGTATTTAAGGTGTTCTTAGGTGTTTTTGCTTTGGAACTTCCAACTGAACTGAACTGTACTCCATTGTGTTAAATGTCCAGAAGGTACCTTATACATTTCTGTGATAAAAAATTATATAAATAAATTTACTTAACCTATTTCTGCTTATAATTCATTGTTTTCCTAATAATGTAGGTTTACTTAACTTACCCACTTGTGACAATAAATTGCCGTGGGTATGGCTTTTTTTATATAGAATAAGTGTGACAAACGAGCACACAGTTCATCTGATGGTAAGTGGATTCTGTGGTGGATAAAAGTGCAGATGCGTTGTCACCCCTGAAGACTAAGACGTAATGCCTAGTTTCCATTAAAAAGAATCTCCAGTGTCAGAACCAGAGACACACTCACCATATGAAACACAGCACCCTTAAGGTGCTATTTTACGCTAGTATTCAGTGAGAATTTCATGGAGTTCGAGACGCGCGGCCGTCCCGGTCATATAAAACAACAAATTACAAAGTTTTAGCTAATGAAATCAGTGGAGTGTGTAAATTAAAATGAAAGTAATTAGTGATAGTGTTTACCTTTGGTTATTACTGAATGGAACATCGTAGAAATAAAAAATAAACTGTGTTTAAATGGCAAAACTAAGTAATTATTTATAATGCTCTAAAATTTTGATGAATAACAAATAAAAGTGCATAAAACTATCAATGTGTTAAATAACCATAATATAGTAAGGGAACTGAGTTAAAAACTACTACAGTAACATAACGAAATTATTAAAAACAGTAACATGAATTCTCATTTTAATAACTCACTGGTAACGGAATGTTACGTGACTCAAAACATTATATGGTCGCACCATACTGCACACTATATGCCTTACAAGACGGTGGTAAAAAGTTCATGTCTCGCAGCTGATTGATACTATTTACATTTTTTCTTTGTTACTGTTTTACTTGAAGCAAAATATGGATAAAAAACAGCTCAGAAAATGATCAAGTACCCTATTTGCTATAAATACCAAAAGAAAATAAATAAAAAAGGCAGCATAAAGGCACTTCCAGTAATGCCATTGCATAAGTCTGAAGAGAAAGTATCAACTAGTTCCGATGATGACCTACATAGCCTGCCAGATATTAGTACGTAACAAAGTGATAGAGAAGAAGAGTTGTTAAAAGAAATCGCCTATTTTAAATTAGAATTAGAAAAAGCTCATAATGAAATAGAAAATTTAAACATGGAAAATACATAATTGGAAAAGGAAATGCTGACTCTAAAATAGAAGTAACTATTTAGGTACGCATCCCTTACAAATCGAAATACCAGAGAAAAGAAAAAAGATAATAAATCTGGACAAAGCCGATCAACAGAGTTGAATGAATCAATCTGTAGTGCTATAGAATTAGATAATAGAAAAAGGCATCTAATAGAAAATAAGTCAAAATTATATAGTGAGTAAACTGAACAAAAGCCCAAAAATAAATATCGGATAAGGATTAGCTTCAAAGATAATAGAAAAACTGAATGTCAAGCAATTAACAACTGTAAACCGGAAACAGGATTTCAAGAAATATTAGAAAATATTATGGCGAAAATACTGGAAAAAAAAGACACAGTAGCAGTACTAATTACTAAATATGAAAGTTTTCTTCATCATAATCAACAAAAGTACAAACTATTGAACAATCGGACAGCCGGATAGGAAATTTAACATGATAATCACTGGTTTGCGTTATAGTGGCAAGAATAACAATGAGATTTACCATATCAATTATCAGATAGTTAACATAGCTAAAGTCAAGGAAAATATCAAATTTCTGGACCCGAATATGATATATGAAAATACAAGTAACTTTAAATAGTTGAAAAACTGTCATAGAAAATTTAATAACAAGTATAGATCGCAAGTTTCAGGGATCACCCTCACTGCGTTTCATCAAATGTCAAAACGAATACACTTCCTCGAGTGATAAAGGCATAGATTTTTCAACAGTGCCAGAGCCGATTCAAGAAAAATAATTCTTCATGCAAATGTTTCAAATATACATAAAAAATACCTAGAAATTGAAAGCTTAGCTAATGAACAGAACTACGACGTGTTATGTTTGACGGAGATGTGGGGTAAAAACCATCAAATAGAGGCGATGACTATTGAAAACTATACACTCGCGACTTGATTCTTTGAACACGGCGGAACGGCGACTTTTGTAAAAAATACTTTAGAATATAAAATTAGGAAAGGCTTAAAGAAACTATCATTTGAAATGAATTGTGAGTTGCTGCTAACTATAGAATTAAGATCCTCAAAAACAATAATCATTGCACTTTAAAAACCTGACTATGATATAAGTCTATTCTTTGAAATACAAAACTTTTAAATAAACTTCGTTAAGAGGACAAGCAAATTGTAATAGCAAGTGACTTGAACTTAAATGTTTTAAATAGATACGCAAATATATATATTTTATTATTTGTTCAACAAAAATTACACTGGCATTAAATCAGAAATTATAATGACTGATGACGCGTACGCAAAAATGAGAATTTTACAAGATGCGTTGCACCATTATTACAACATTGCTTTAAATTGCCAAAAATAAAAATAAAAAAACAAGTAAGAAACAAACATAAAAAAATTGGACTACTAGGTATAGAAACGAATAAGAAAAACTTAATTAAAATGAAAATATTACAAGAGCATTACTACTACCCTACCCAACAGAGAAAATTAAAACTTAAAAAATAAAAGAAATTATTACTAAAAACAATGATAGCCGCAAAAAATATAATATCGTATGAGGATTAAGGAGGCAAAAAATAAAATTAACAAATCGTGGAATATTATAAATGAGCAGAGAGGGCTAAATAAACGGCAAAATACAAAATCTAGAATAGAATCGATAAAAAACTATGGTGGGAAAATTATTACAGAATCTCAAAAAAATGCAAGAAGTTTTAATGATTTTTTCTGCAATATTGCACATAGATTTACAAGTAATTTTGAAGTTGACTGGAATAGGCCACTAACATCTATTTCTTTTTACCCATTAGATTATACAGAGCTAAAAAATATTGTTAAAAATCTACATAAGACATCTAAGATATGAGCACTAGGATATTAAGAAATGTTATTAGAAAGAACAATAATTTATTCGAACTGATATTTATTGTTGTTAATTCCTGCTTAGCTAATGGCATATTCCCCGAGGTACTCAAACCGGGTAGGGTTATTCCAATTTTCAAAAAATGGGATTCCACAGAGCTCTAATTACAGGCCAGTTTGTATATTGACGACTTTATCAAAAATATTAGAAGCCATTATAAAATCTAAAATTATAAGGTACTTTGTCCTTGTGAAATGTATGTATGTAAACTGCATACATGGTACAGAAGAAAATCCTAGTGAGGGGGAACGTTTTTAAATAAGAAAAGAAAGAAGGAAAGAAAGAAAGATGCGAGCATCTGGTACTACAATGTTGCGATTAATGCAACTAGAATTATATACAGCAGTGAACATTTACAGGTGGAGTGATGAAGAAAAACAAGACTATCTTTTTTAGCACTCTATAATACCATTAGGTCCGGAATACAGTCATGCAAGTACTGCTTGGCGGCACAAATAGGTAAGAGGTTGGCACCTAGACAGACACCAAGACAGAGAAGAAGACCTAGCACCTGGAATATAGAAATGAAATGAAAAGAAAAAATAAATAAATAGTAAAATAATGTCGACTTTTGTTTATCCAGTATCACATTTTAACAAGAATTATTGCAAGCATATAAACATATTATGTGGCCTATATTCAGAAGTGAAATTGTGATAGGCTGTAATTCTGTAATGATGATGGTGATGATTATATAAGTGTATGCTACTTTTTTATTTTTTTCGGCCCATAAATGTCCACTACTGAACGTGGGCCTCTCCGTGTGTATAGAGGATTTACTTTAATCGACATGATGGGAAATCTTTCTTGCATTATCTATATTGTCCTATATATGTATATAACAAAAAAAAAGTTATTTCTTATATTTACACGAATTCCACACATTAAAGGAAACTAATTTATTAAGTAATTTTAACTTTTCACCTCGGCATTAAAAGGTAAAGTGCTGAAAAAAGCGAAAATAAAGCACCTAAAACGTCGACATTTATGAAGTTAAAATTAAACGCAATAAAACAGTAAAATTAGCTTTATTTAAGAAAAAAAATTTATTTGATTCGTCCTCTCTGCTACAATAATTTTATTGAATAACTGGCGACCAGCCTCGACTTTGCCTGAATATGATTTATTATCGTCATGGAATATCGTATTGTTACGAGTATTTATTTAAGATGACCATTAAACATTTATTTTGTCAATTTTTCGATTTACTATTTCGATAATGTAGCCTTAATTCTTTTATTACGATCGAGTCAGCCATTCTGAAGAATAGCACGGAGAGGTAGACAAAAAATTGAATAAAATGTATTATGTGGCTAATCAAATCTTATGTATGGCGAGGATGATCTGGAACATGTTCGTAGACTGCAAACTTCCCGGAACGTAAGTGCTTTAACATAAGTTTGACGTAAAACACTGACGATCTGGGAAGTCTGCAGTCTGCGAAAATGTTCGAGAACGTCCCCGCCATTATTGTTTAAAGATGTCCACAAGATGTTGTTTATGAAAATATGTTGTTAGTGAGCATAATTTAAATATAATAATAATAATAATAATAATATCCTCAAGAACGAATATTGGTCACGGCGGCCAGTCACAAAAGAGATTATCCATCTGCGTAGAACGGGACAATAGTGCCGGAGTGTATGAGCAAGCACAGGTGCACTCACTATTCCTTCACACTCATAGTCTGATGGTACGGCAATCCGACATGACCGGGGAGAG